AAAACACGTGAACTGTTTTGACAGTTTCAACTCGTTCTACTTTTGTCTATTCTTTGTTTACTTGTGGTACACAAATGTCAACGGCCAGGACGGCGCAATCTTGTATTCTATCATTCTTGCAAAATGGAGCGATTCGTGGCAGCGCTACACTTGCATCTACGCATCTTGCATCTTCACGGCTTTCGTAATTTAACACACGGCACTTCATTTTATTAGTTTTTGCAGTCTTCAACTCAAAAATCACAAATTGCAAATTAACACAATTTAAACTTATAATTCACTTATAACTGAAATTTCTATTTACCGCTGATTTGTAAACAAAGGTTTATTTACTAGTTACCACAACTGTCAAAAACGGCAAAACCAAAGTAGCGGTACCACTGACGGCGCCATCTTTGTTCGCTGCACCGTGTCAAGTAGCCTTGTTAAAAGTTAGTGAATCGCACTACTGAACTGGTTTTCAAACGAGTTAAATGATTTAAATGGTTCAATTTTCCAACATTTGCATGCGATTTAACTTGTTTATGAACATGTTTTGTTCATTTAACCGGTTCAAGCCCATTTAACATGTTTAGCTCGTCAATTTGAACGTAGTATTACCGCATAACTTTGGGTCACGTTATCCGATTTCTATAATTCTTTTTTTTTTTTTTAAGGAAAGGTGTTACCTCACAGGTGGTCCCATACTATTTTTGTTTCAATCCAATCATTGGATCATGAAGAAATTCACGATATTCTTAAATTTTTATATGAGAATCGAAGGCGGGTTTTTTCGCTTAAAAATTACTTGTTTTCATTACGCATTTAGCTGCCATTTAGGGCAATTTGGAATGATCGAAATGGAAGTATATACTACCATGATAAAAACATTAGAAGGTAAAACCATTCTCTCAATTCGTCGGCCATGATTTTTTTCTGACGTTTGCAAACATTTTAAAATCATATAAAATTGAAAATAAAAAAATGAAATTGTTCACAATTGTTGTTGTTTGAAATTAGAAGAGAGAATGTGTGTGTGAGCCTGAGCTCTAATTTTAAAATTATATTGTTGGCAAACGTCAGACTGCCTCTCAATGATTTTACCTTGTAATGTTTTTATCATGTATACTACACTGCACATATTTAGTAAAAGGTCTGTACTGCAGTTTTTATACATACATACATGTATCGCGTGAATCATCTTTAATGACGTATGTCAACGTATGCATATGTGTATGTTCATAATAATAGCACAATACTTAAACGACTGTAGCTGCTTTTAAACAATTTATCGTCTCAGTGTCAAGGAAAGTTCAATATGTTAATGTATTATTTCTGTGTTCATATGGAAAAGTAGCTTATGTCAAAAGGCTGGCTTTAGTATAAATCGGCATTCGCAGCATACGATTGCGAATGACTCACTGGCGCTAAGCCGTTGAACAACTTTTGTCAAATAAACGTAGAATAAACAGTTCCGATACTAGCAAGTCAATATTCTTATTAACTCTCATCAACAAATTCCTTGCCGTTTAAAAAATAAAGGGATTGCCGCATTATACTAAAGCCAGCCTTTCGACATAAGCTACTTTTCCATACGAACACAGATTTGTTTAAAATGTGGGTGTTAAATGATGAACGAGTTTAAGTCGCTCTGTACAAATTGTAATATACTTATTTGTATTGATAAAATTTTATTATTTACCCTTTGGGTTTGAGTTCACTTGAGTTGAAGGCTGACGGATATCTGTAATCTTGCTCAAACGATCTAGTCTTGCTTAACAGTATTTCCAGTGGAACATCGGAAACAGTTAACTTATAATAATAATAATAATAGATTGGCGCTTACACATATGTTAGTGTTTGGCCGAGCTTCTCCTCCGACTTGTGGCGTGCGCCTTGATGTTGATGTAACGGGCTACAGAGCAAGATTGAGGAGATAACCATCTTTAGGTGTCGGCATGGTATATTGATAGCTGCGGTCCAAGAGACGAAGTTGCACAACAATTCAACATTGTTGAATTGTGCCGAGTACAACGTGCACCGTCGAGATCGCGAGCGAGATAATGGTGGTGGCTTAACGTTCATCACGCACCACACCGTGCAGTATCGTCTTATCGAAGCAGACATCGACCGCAGGGATACCACCCTAGAATGTCAGGGCATTGCTATCCGGTAAGTCGATGTTGAGCTCGAAATATTTAACATATACATAACCCCTGTCACCTGCTGCCCGGCAGGATATCACCCTGATATAGGTGCGCTCCTCAGAGGTGAAAACCGTATGGTAGTAGGTGACTTTAATGCGCATCACGATCTTTGGCATTCAAGCCTGTCAAACGATCGTAGGGGAACAGAATTGGCTGAGCAGATAGACGATTCAACATTCTGCACAATGAACAACGACGCACCCACCAGGATTATGGGTAACTGCAGCAGCTCGCCAGACATCACCATAGTCAGCGCTGGTCTGATAAACAGCATAACATGGCGACCTATGTTGACTTTAGCATCAGACCATCTACCCATAGTCATCTCGATAGATAAACCAACCGACTTTGCCTCCGCTAAACACCGGACCTATATCAACTTCTCTAGAGCTGATTGGAAAGGTTACGCGGAGTTTACTGAAAACACCTTCACTGCGCTTCCCACAACAACCGACATCCATCTCGGTGAACGTAAGTTCCGCAGGGCTGTCACTGCTGCTGCAGCTCGCTTCATACCGGCAGGATGTAAAACGGACCCACATCCAAACTTCCCTGCCGAAGCGGCTGTTCTAGCCGATGAGCGCGACAGCCTTCGTCAGGCCGATCCCGGAGATCCCCGTATTAGGGATCTCAACGCGGAGATTCGGCAACTAGTAAACGTACATAAGCGGAAGAAGTGGGAGGATCATCTGAAGACCTGTAACTTCGCCTCTGGTGTGAGTAAGCTTTGGTCAACCGAGAGGTCACTGTCCAATCCGACGAAGCACGACGACAGAGTCGAAATTTCCTTCGGCGACCATGCTTCGTCGGACCCGGAGCGATGCGCGAGCTATTTTAGCCGGCAGTTCATACTGCATCCTCCGGTGGACAAATCCAAGCGTCGAGTGACCAGAAGGCTGCACAAACTGCCAACAACTTGTGCCCCCCTTGCTTTCACTTGCGGTGAAGTTCAGGTGGCCATCGGGAAGGCGAAAGCCTCCAAAGCCATGGGTCCCGACGGAATATGCATGCTGATGCTGAAAAATTTGGGTCCTGCGAGGGTAGCGTACCTAACAGAGGTCCTCAACTTGTCCATGGCCACTCATCATCCCAGACATCTGGAAGGTGGGGAGAGTGGTCCCACTGCTCAAACCGGGGAAACCCGCCAACATAGGAGATTCTTATCGTCCGATAACACTCCTTTCCCCGGTAGCGAAGACACTCGAGGCCTTGCTACTCCCGTACTTCACAAACCACTTGACCCTAGCGAAGCATCAGCATGGCTTCCGTAAAGTGCACAGTACAACAACAGCACTTAACGCCATAAACACTCACATAACTCGTGGCCTTAACTGTAAACGTCCCTGTAAGAGAACGATTCTAGTAGCGTTGGACCTGTCAAAGGCTTTTGACACTGTCAGCCATTCCACGCTACTAGAAGATATAGAGGCTTCCTCTCTCCCACAGAGGCTCAAACGGTGGTAGGCAAATTATCTGAGTGGTCGACACTCGTCGGTAATATTTAGAGACAAATCGAGCAAACTTAGAAAAATAAAACAGGGGGTTCCACAGGGTGGGGTCCTTTCCCCACTACTGTTTAACTTTTACATTTCAAAGCTCCCTCAACCACCAGAGGGAGTCTCGATTGTCTCTTACGCCGACGATTGCTCGATCATGGCGACTGGGAATGGAATTGATGACTTGTGTTCGAAAGTAAACGGATATCTCTCTGACCTTTCTAGCTTTTTCACTGCAAAGTGTCTAGCCCTCTCCCCTACGAACTCCTCTGCGATCCTGTTCACAACCTGGAAGAAGGAGGTCAGGCTACCGCTAGGAATTCACGCCGATGACACACCAATTCCGACGGTGAATAACCCTAAAATACTCGGAGTAACATTCGACAGCCTGCTCTCCTTCTCTGCGCACACAACGGCTATTGTCAATAAATTACAGAGCCACAACAAGGTCCTCAAGTCGCTAGCCAGCAGTACTTGGGGCAAAGAAAAAAGAAACGTTGCTGGCAACATACAAGGCTATAGGCCGGCCGGTTGTAAACTACGCAGCACCAGTGTGGTCGCCGGGGACTAGTAGGACGCAGTGGACGAAGCTACAGACGGTACAAAATACAGCACTCAGGACAGCGACAGGATGCCTCCTGATGACAACAGAACACCACCTCCACGACGAGGCAAAAATGCTCCCAATTAGGGAGCACAACACGATGCTCTGCAAGCAGTTTCTTGTTGGGAGCCACAGATGTGGCCACCCAAATAGACAGCTGCTTGCAGAGGAGCCCTCGCCGAGGCACGTCAGGAGGCATCTATATGAACTGACGGACGAAGTCCAGAGGTTCATTAAGCAACCTCTGGACCCGTCAGCTCATAGACAGGCCCTGAACGGCATTCACAGGGACGCAGTCTCGAGTTATGTAGACTCAAGACCTGTGAATGCCGTTCTAGGCACACAAACACCGGACATTGACATGACGGAGCTCCATCTGCCTCGGGAGACCAGAACGACAATAGCCCAACTTCGCTCTGGCTACTGCAGCAGGCTAAATTCCTACCTGTATAGGTTAAATGCGGATGTGCCGAACGAATGTCCGGCATGCGGAGAGACCCCTCACGACTCGAAACATCTCTTCGCAAAACCCCACAGCCCTAACGGCGTCGTCCCTATGGACTGACCCCATAGAGGCTGCACGCTTCTTGGGGCTGCCGTTAGTGGAACTCGACGACAACGACTGAGATATCAACCGATCTGGGCGGGGTTGTTGTAGCCGCTACAACAACAACAACAGTTAGCTTAAGTTATCATAATTATGATCAACTTGCTTTTCTTTATTGAACGATTTTTCTCGCATTCAAACGCTTCCAAAAAGTTTATTTAGTATCATAATCTTATCATATTTGATATTCTCGATAACATATAAACATTTTATCGATGTTTGTTGTATCTATTTTTAATTTTTATTTAATTTGAGACCCAAAGGATCCATTGGATAATGCAAAAATTTCTACAACTAAGCTTCACTTAAATTTATAGCATTATTCCTCATTTAGTACATGCGCCGACTATAATTCATCTGTTGCTGTGTTGGTTGACCTGGTTGTCCCTGCATTATCTGCGGTTGACGCGCCAGGTGCTCATGCGCGGCAGCAGTATTTCGGCTAGTAGCATAACCTTGAGTAATGCTCGGAGCAGATTTGGGATTCTAAACCAAAATATAAATATTTTATTAATACATACTGTTATAACATAACCATAATATATACTACGCGCGCTCACACTGACCTGGCCGGGATTAGAGCTAATCTGCATTATATTTGGATGTAACGACATTCCAGGCATCATCGGTGTATAGACAACTCCTTCTGGCAGCTGATGTGGCGGCCCGTGTCCCGGCGGTACATCGTGCTTTACATCAGGATGATAACGATCACTTATTTTCTCCATTGTAACTTGTGGTTTTTGTGTCTGAACGCCTGGAGGCACAGATGACACTGGTCCTGATTGCGAAATTGCTGGTGCGTCTAAACTAATATGATACACTTGTGTGGGTTTTGATGGTGCCTGATCTGATTTTGAAACAGGTACTGAAGATGTGGGCTGCAAATCCAAATGGAATCCCTGTCTTAGTGGCAAGCCGTATGGATAAATAATAGCTGGACCACGACCATCCGGCTGTGGTTGAGGTGCATTGCCTGTAGCGGGATAGAAGAGCGCACCGGGGCCTTGATATTGCGTAGGAGGGGGCTCTAAGAAGTGATATGTATTTTTTTTTAATTAAATGTGAATTTCGGATATAGGTTGGAGACAGGTTTTGCAATTCACATCCGAGATAATCCAGTCCCTTTGATTTCAAATTGAAAGGGGGTTGGAATTCGCTCGGAAATGAATCGCAGAACCTGCCAAATAATCTTACTATTCCAGGCCACTCTGGGATATTCAGCGCCACGACGTCCATCATCATGTTCTAAAAATAAAAAATAAGCAATACAAAATTATATACCATTTCTCCAAACAAAACAAATACTAGGCATATTTCTGATAAATCCTTAAAATCTTTGATTCAATAAAGGTCCTAAACATTTAAAACTAGAAAAACTTAATATGCAATGCATTTGTAGTTGTTGTTGTAGCAGCATACAAGTTCCTCAGAGTTTTTGTGGAGTGTTGCTGGAGTTGTTGTTGTTGTTGCTTAATAGTGTCGAGCCCCCCCCCCTAAATTTCATTCTGGCTACGCCGATGGCTGGAGTGACAGTCCTTGGTCAGATATAAATCTGGGTCGTTCCGGTTACGTAGACCCGACTGTCGCGGGAACGATATAATGCATTTCAACTTACTCGGTTGCGTATAGTTTGTGTTTTTATAATAACCCTGATGTGTAGGTGGCGACGGACTACGAGTGCGTTTAACAGGCTGATTTGCGACAGGCTGCAAGGAAAGGATTATTAAAATTACTTACGTAAAATACAACTGTTTGCCAATTTTATAGGTATACCTTGGGAATAATAGGTATTTGGTGGTGCTGCATTCTAACGGGTGGTATGAAAACCTGTGGTGGCGGCGGAGCAACATTAACTTGCTGCGCCTGCAATGCTTGCAATGCAAACATTTCATTATCCTTTTGTTGCTTTTTACGATTCTCATCTTCATTTAATACTTTCTTTAATTGTAAAAATAATTGTTGTTTTTGATTGTGCAAATCTTTGATTTGTTTATCCAATTTGGCAATTTTGCCTCGTGTATCTTCAAGCGAAACATCATTCTGATGATCTTGTTGTTCACGTTCTTTGCGCAAACGCTCTTCCTCTTCCTTAGCATCAAATTCTGGATTGAGGAAAATGAATAGATGAGAAGATTATATAGGATATCCCAAGGCACTTACCTTCTTTTTTTCGTTGGCGTTCCTTAAGAACAAACTCCTTCAAAGCTGACCGAAGGCGTTCATCCCGCTCTGCCTTCGCAGCAGCTGTATTGTTATTACTATTGCTATTATTAACTGTGGAGGCTGAGGCAGATGGGATTTTGGAATTGAATTTCTTCTCCGTCATCTTTTCCTCCTTTTTCCGAGTATATTTACTGAATAAACCTATTTTTAAAGATATTCATAAAAATC